TCTGCTCACTTAGGTTGAGCTCTTGTCTTCTCGGACCTACTCATCTAGGCCGAGATCTTGTCTTTTGGATCTGGGATCTACTCACTTAGGTTGAGCTCTTGTCTTCTCGAACCTAATCATCTAGGCTGAGATCTTGTCTTCTGGATCTGGGATCTGCTTACTTAGGTTAAGCTCTTATCTTCTCAGACCTACTTCACCTAGGCCATACCCTTCCATCTTGGATCTGCTTTACCTAGGCCATGCTCTTCCATCTGGGATCTGCTCCACCTAGGCCATGCTTTTCCATTTGGGATCTGCTTCACATTGGCCATGCTCTTCCTTCTTGGATCTGCTTCACCTAGGCCATACTCTTCCATTTTGGATCTGCTACACCTAGGGCATGCTCTTCCATCTGGGATCTACTGCACCTAGACCAATGTCTTTTCTACTTGAAGGTCGTCTTCATCTTCTCGGGAATGCTCATGCCCCCTTATCTTTGCATTCATCCTTTCTAGAAGGGTCTTCATTTTGTCAATGTTGGTGCATTCTCCATCTTCACTGAACTCGTTGTCACACGTTGATCTTGCACGATGATGGCCATCTATTCTAACTAAGTTCCCACAGACAGCTAAGTTCCCACATAGTTAATCAATGTAGAATGAAATCTATATAAGAGAGAGAGTTTAATGGTGCTTGTTCGAAATATGTGGTTAAAATCAATTGAAGCCTAGATCAAGAGGTGATTGAGACCGGAGGGGGGGGCTACAGCGGTGACTGAGACGGAGAGACTCATGATTCCATGCAATGGTGGTTGCTTAGCGAAGTAGAAGGAGGGGCTGAGAGAGAGAAAGAGAGGAAGAGGGAGAAAGAGAAGGAGATGGAGCTGAGATGAGATGAAGAGAGAGAAAGAGAGAGAGAGAGAGAGAAGATGATATACAGTTTCAAAATTTGAAACTCACAAATTTGGGGGTGGCATTTGAAAGGGAGCATAGGAGAATGAAAGAGAGTTGTAGAGCACCGAAGGAGAGGGATGTCGCCGAAAAGTAAGAGAGATGTTGTCGAAAAGCAAGAGGGATGCGCTGAAGAGTGAGAGAGAGTTACAGAGCAGAGAAGAGGAGAGAGAGAGAGAGAGAAATGGGTGGCTAGGTTTGGGAAGGAGAAGAATACAGAAAACGGTGTCGTTTTGGTAATAAGATTAGATGAATTGGTAATAAATTTCCAACTATCCAATGTTATTGTCATTTGCAGAAATTCCCCTTTGATTTGCAACTTTAGTCTACTGCCCCCACTGGGCAATAATTCCCCTTTTATATTATGTCTTCTGTGTATATCAATGCAACAACATGTGTATATGTATGACCTAGCATATATAAAAAATTATGTGACCCCCACAACTAGGACTGCAAACGAGTCAAATCGAACCAAGCTAAATTTTAGTATGTTTAGACTTGTTTATTAAAATTTTAACGAACTTGAGGTCGAGCTCGAACTCAATAAAAATTTAACGAACCGAGCTCGAGTCAAGTTGGCTTAGGCTTGACTTGAGTTCGAGTCTGTTTACAAGCTTTAACGAGTCAAAAAATTTATAAATTCATATTTGTTTATGAGACTAAAGCTACAATTAAAATTTTGATTATACAATTATATATACAATACATATAATACTAAAAAAAAGGGTCAATATTTTACTAAAATAATTATATCTACTACCACTATAATATAAATGTACTATCTATAATTAGCTATTATTTACATTTATATTTTTTAAATATATAAATAACACATTTATCTTACTTTTTATACATATTTTTACATTATTTAATATATAAATAATAAATATTAAACGAGTCAGCAACAAGCCGAGCTTACGAGCTGAGTTTTAGAATGTTTAGACTTGTTTATTAAAAATTTAACGAGCTCAAGCTCAAACGCAAAAAAAATTTAACAAACCAATTTCGAACAAACTTTTGCCAAGTCGAACTCAAATCTGTTCACGAACGATTCTATTCATTTACTACCTTACTCACAACACATAAGAAGCTGCAAAAGAGGAGAAATTTTTTAATAAAATAATCTAATGATTTGTAGCAACCTTTTACGTAAGGAGTTGGATCCTCTCAGTCGGTGATTTGGGAGGGAGGGTGTTGTGCTGGAAATTGGGGTCACTGTTGTGGCAAAGGCACAGCAGTGACTGTTGTGCTTCATTTTGTGATGCATTATGTGATTATTTTTATGATATGAACCGTTCATTTTGTAGGGTTTGTTGAGTACTTCAAGCCTACCAAAAATCATATTAATCGAATACCAATAACTATATGATTGATAACCAAAAAAACAAACAAGAAGTTTTTCTTTTGAAAAATAGTATAAAAATATGCAATTCGATCATATAGTTGTTGATATCCGATTAATATGATTTTTGGTAGGATTTAAGTACTCAACAAATCCTACAAAATGAACGGTTCAAATCATAAAAATAAGCCCATAATACATCACAAAATGAAACACAACAGTCACTACTGTGCGTTTGCCACAGCAGTGACCCCAAGTCCGTTGTGCTGGCTCGTGAAATTAAACACAAGTTCGTTTTGATCGATTCAAATTATTTATTAAGTTAATTACTTAAAAGTTTTATTTACAAATATTATAGTAACTCAGATTTTATTTAAGATTTTTTAAAAATAATAAGTCATATCTAATAAAATTGATAATGTTATCAATTTGTCTCAATTTTTAAAACTAAAAATATTATCAATTTTACATAATAATTTTTAAATAATTATTTCACTAACTGATAAAAAAAATAAAAGCATGAGATCAAACGTTTTTGCCATTCTACTTATTGGTTTGATTCAACTATCTAATAAAACCGAGAATATTAACAGTTTTTTTCAATTTTAAAACTGAGAACATTATCAATTTTTTCATATTTAATTTTTTTTTTTCAATTTTGCATGTCAATATTCTATCATCATGCTCCTTTACAGACACAAATTTTTTCAGCTTTGCACAAAAAATTAATTCATTTTTTTTCAATTTTTTCTTAAAAAACATTGTTCGGTTTCAGTTTTTTAAAAATTGAATTTTTTGTTTTTCGAGTTTTTTTGTTTTTAGTGAATATTTTTAAAGTTTTAAGCATATTTTTGCTTTTTTAGATGCATCTTACTTAGATGTATCTAAAAAGTAAAATATTTGTGAAAAAATATTTCAAAAATTAATAAATACACAACTATAAAAAAAATATTAAATTTTCATATTTTTGGTATTTAGTGAATTTTTTAAAGATTTTTTTCACAAAAATTATACTTTTTAATTTTTTTAATGTTAGGTGTGTCTAAATTTTTTTTTTAAAAAAATTCTTAAAATATTAAAAAATTCAGTAAAAATAAAAAAGATACTGGATATAAGAAAGTAAAATTTTCTGAAAAGTGTTTTTAGAAAACTCAAACCAGGCAAAGTGATTAGTTTTATTTATTTATTTTTTTTTGCATATAATTTTTTTTAGTATTCTCAAATTGAAAGTTGATATTTTAAAGTTTTGAAAATCAAAATAAATGTCAAATTATCATATTTCTTTATAAATAATCATAAATGATGAACAATTATTATTTGAAGGACAATTCTAATTACTAAAAATTTAATGAGATTTGAAAGTTCAAAAAATATTAGTTAAGACTTAATGGAGTATAAATTCATAAATTATAACTTGTGTGTAAATGTTCCTTATTCATTTTGTCAGTCTCTTCGTCTATATCATACATAAAAAATTAGATCAATTCGATAATCGTATATATTCAATTTATGACATTTATCACTAAAATAATATATGGTATATTTTTTAAATACACGTTTGTCATTTATTTGTTTGGCCACATAGGTGATAAATTAAATATATTATAATTATCGGTTCCACTTGATATTTTGTGAAAATAATATACCCAAAGAATTCCAAAAAATAAATGATTTCAGTTAGCAAAATAGGCTCCATGATAGATTTCTCTAACCCAAACAATATATCGACTGGAGGGGGCTGCAATTCCCATGCATGAAATGCCGTGTTTCAAATTTCACTATTTTCATGGATGTTGTTTTTTTTTTTTTTTTTTGGGTTCATTTTCATTTTAATGTAGTGACCCCATTAGGATCATGAAAATCATAACACACTGCGGTCAATCCAACTTCCACCACATATTTTTATGCAGATCTCATCAAAACTTCTCATAATAAAATTTTAATACATTAAGAATAAGTACAAAAAAAAAAAAATTATTCAGAAATCTAAAACATGCCACTATTATCAAAATATATTTACTGAGTAATTTAATATTTTAAATTTTAAAATAATATAACTTTTAAACTAAATATTGGTATTTAATAAAATTAGTACTCTTAAAATCATTTTATCAAAATCTATCAAACAAGATTCATGTTAATTACAAAATTCTTAAAAAATATAAAAAATATACCGTCAAAATTGACGTAAATAGTAATATTTTATTCTGTTTGACAGTAATATGTTACTTTAGTTTACAGTAACATTTTATTATTATAAAAAACAGAGTATATACTAGACGAACCAATCAAAAATACACATACACAATATTTTTAAACTTGTATAAAATAAAATAAAATAAAAGTTTTCTTTGTCAAAAGAATTGTGTAAGATATATATATGCATGGGTAATATTATCCAAGAAAAACAAAAAAGAGATTTTAGTCTGTCCTTACTCAATTATGCGCCTCTTCTCCTTAGGAGATTATGAAGCAAAATAAATTAGATTATTCTTTTCACCAAACAAGGGTCCAATGAATTTCCCTATTTTTATTTTTGATTTCTTGTTTTAAATTTTTTCTTCTTTTTTTCACATTATTATTATTTATTTGTTGTGTTGACTTGGCTATATCTTTTGAACAGTATAATGTGAACACATGAAAGGATAAATAATGTTTGATAAAGAAAATAAGATCATTACGTTATTGAAATCAAACCAATAATAGTTGATTATTTAGGCATTGTGGTCAACTGTGGATGGTTAGAATTTGTTTTCATTGACTGAAGTTGTAAATTATAATGAGCAATCTTCAGTGCATGACCAAATCCTCGTGTGTTCCCGGCTACCAAGAGAAGAGTACAAACTAGTGTTTGGTTACGAATATGCTTGCTTGCTAGGTCGTCCCTTTCTTCTTCTGAATTTGTTAAACACCTGTTTGGTTATCAGAGAGTTCAATATCTTGGATTTGTTGGAAGGCTTGGTAGCATGAGGATAGGTTGTTGTTGGGTCATCCTCTCTTACTCGACTCTCTGTTGGTTCTTTTTCAATACTATTAGTGTCTCATATGCTGTCGACACTCTTACTGTTGGCCAGGTAATGAAAGACTGGGATTACTTGGAATCTCCAAACAAGCGCTATTGATTACACTTCTCAAGCCCAGACGGATCCACCTCTCGCTACTTGGGAATTCAACATATGGGTGTGTATCCATGGGTTAATGTTAGAATCCCCATGCTAGTTTGGGTTGCCAACCGTGATAAACCTATAGCCGATACCTCTGGAACTTTAAGCATATCCCATGATGGAAACCTGGTGCTTTCTAACTACAGTGGCAACTTCTACACCATACTAAATGCACAACACCCTGCCATGAGCAGTAGTAACACGAGTGCAACTCTACTCAATACGGGTAATTTGGTTCTGAGAGCTGCGGGAAAACATATCGTGTGGCAAAGTTTTGATTATCCCTCTGATACCTGGCTACCAGGCATGAAATTGGGATTGTTTAAATCCAGTACGGGTCAGTTAGAAAACCAGTTTCTCACTTCATGGCTGAGTGATCAAGTACCAGCTATGGGGGCTTTTACTTTTGGCGTTGATCCCAACAATACAAAGCAGCTTGTAATCTGGAAAAGAGGGGTCATTTACTGGCGGAGTGGGATGTGGAATGGGTATAACTTTACTTACTTTGCTCAGAGTTATGATATACAATTCAACTTCAGCTACTTCTCTAACGAGGGGCAGAGCTATTTCACTTTTACAGTGAATGAAAATAAACATAGTTATTGGATTGACCTACGCTCGGTTGGGATAATTGGGGCAGTTGGTATATCAAAAGAATTGGGGAGCTTCCCAGACATCAGTGATGCACCAATTTTCTGTCACCCTGGCCAAGTGAGATTCAGGCCTATTAATCAGGGGTGTGTAGCCCCCGAGCCATCCAACTGCACAACTGGAGACGCATTCATTAAGACAATTAGTGTTGAACCAAAGTCATATGATGAAATGATTTACGGAATCAATTACAGCCTAGGTATCAGTGACTGCGAAGATATTTGTAGACGACACTGTTCTTGTATAGCTTATTCTTCTGGTAAACTGAGCGGGTGCAGCTTTTTTAGTGATATTGAGAAATCTCCCTTTTCAACATATATTCTTTACATAAGGGCGGGCTTCATGGTAGAGAAAGGTAACACATGCATTGAGTTTTATTTTATTTATTTTTTCAGGAAGAAATTCCTGATCAATTTGAAATGTATTGTAAGTAATCACTAGAGTAGTTCTCTAATTTTAACAGTCTAATAATTTATTATTATTATTATTATTTATTTTATTTTATTTTGCATTATTCACCATTATTAATCATGTATAGTCTAAATATGTATTCCTCCTACCTCCAAATAACTTGGTGTCTAACCATCCAAACAGGGATATACTTTTCTATAGTTCAGCTATGGGTTGAAGAGGTCAAGTTTGGTGTGTAGGTTCACCATATGTCACATCGCAATGATCTGAGTCATTCATCTTGTTGGGCCTATACATAGATCATCCATGGAAAAAAAAAAAAAAAAATTAAAAATGCATTTTTCCTTATTATGAAATACTGCTTCCGCTTGCCATTGTTTTTTATTGTCTATTGTTAATATTTTAACCAATAGCATTCTGGTTATGTTTGTTAAATGCTGCTTGTTATTCTGTTATTACACAATATTTATTATTTGTGAGTATTATTATCGGGGTGGGTATTTTCGAATTGTAATATCTTATTGAGCTCGTCGCTC